GTGATATTGCAGAAATAGCGATTGTGTGACATTGGGTGTTCTTAATGATGTACCAGGCATTATGCAGTTCTCTGACAAAGAGCCCTATTGGAAAAGATGCTGATTCTGTATCTAGAAGTAGTATCCCACCAGAAAAAAGGTGGCCTGTTTATTCTAAGCTTGCCTGGATCCACATGTGACAAATTAGTTTTCTTTTGTTTTGTAACGATCAGGTGGGAGATAGCAAGAATCAGTTTATATATCTGATATTCGTAAAGCATATAACTTTGAAAGATTTGTATGTGATAACATTTAAAGAAAAGGAAACATGCATTTATTTTAACGTGTAACCTGACCCTTTGGGTCTGACAGTGGGTGCACTGTCTTGATAAAATCCCTGAAATTTCTGTCGATGTCCACCACCCAGCCCTGCACCACTGTGTGTGGATATTTCCCAGCCTATCTTACAAGGATTCTCAGTGGCAATTAAGACAACTGCCGAAAAATTAACATTGTATCTGAAACAGTGTTTGAAAATTTTTGTCTGAAGCAACTCTTTGAAACAGCAACGGCAGCAGCAGCAACATAAAAGAGCTGGGCTTTATGGAACATAAGGGACAGCTCTTCATTCTGTGTCAGAATGCTGTTCTACTTAATGCATGGTGATAGAGGCAAAGGGCATTTCCTAAGAATGAATGACCAGGAGGTTGTTCTGTGTCATTGACAAAACTAAGCATTAATCTCCTGGAAGTGCTCAAGAGTTCAGTTTTTTTTGCTCTCAAAAGATGTACGCAACAACAAAAATAATCCAAAGATACTGCCGTCCAAGACCAGCCTTGTCTGTAGTGAATGAAGTGAAAGGATCAATTGGCCTTGTCTAGCTGACCAGCTGCTTTATGCATAAATGGGGCCTCTTGTGTTTTCTTCTGAGTAAATAGTACTTCTAAATAGAGAGGGGAAAAGTGATGTGTACAAAGGACCAATGTCTGTAGTAAACAAAAGTTTTATCAAATTGAGAGGAGGAAATGTAGCCATTTCCAGTGTTTCCTGTGTGCTTGCAAAGAGATCTGTTATTACCTCTTTAGATTTCAATGCCAGTCTCCTCCCTGGCTCCACATTTATAAGCCTTCTACTCTATGGAGAAGATTTATTAACAATCCAAAGGTTTTTTAGTTGCCTGAATTGACTAAGCATTCATCTATATAGCTTCCTAGCTCCCATTTATTACCTGATCAATGTGCCACATATTTTTGTTGCCATCTATCACCAGAACAGCAATAGAATAGTAAACTGTTCTCTCTAAAGTAGGAATTGGGGACCTCAAGCCTTGGGGATGAATCTGGCACTCTGGGCTCAAATTTGGCCTAAAGTGCAGACCACCATAGTGTGTGTCACACTTTGTGTTCTGGATATATATTCTATGCTAGCATTTAAAAAGGATCTAAATATAATGTCTTGGATTCTAGGGTGAAGCTAGAAATTGATACAATTAGTAAGTGAGAGCATCCTATAGTCAGAAGCGTTGAAATGATCCCCATCATTTTGCAATGCCTGCTGGCCGGTTAGAGAGCCTGACGAGTAATGATGGTGGTTTCTGTTCTAAGCCCTCCCAGTTGACTGAGATCTCCCTCCCTATGATTCCTCTTCCAAGTGTCTCTACTAGGGACAGGGAAATGCTTTCTACTGCATTCATTTTTTAAAGAAAAACTCAAATTCTTTCTGTTCCAAATATGATATCTGTGACTTTTGATAAATTATTCAAGCATGAACTGAAACAGTTTTTTATCTGTAGGCATTAGTCTGGCCGGAGAGGTAGAGTTGTTCCAAGAACAGAGAGAATTATGTTTAACTTCCATGTCATAGATGAAAACAAAGTGCTGCTCTAAATAAATAGATTGCCTTCTTTCACTTTCCTCAGACAGCAACCTAATTCACCACTAATGTGGGATCCAAACCTTGCCTTTTAAGAGATAATCACTCAACGCTCTGGGCCTAAATGGATGACGGTTTCGATGTTTTGCACATCCTATATTTTTAGTCCTTCCATATATGAATAAATTTTCAAATGCTGGGAAATTATTAGAGAAGAAATGAAATAATTCCTCACCCCTAGTCTCCCTATATACATGGCTGAGAGGAGGAGGATTAAAGAACCAAGGTCTTAATGGAATTAAAGGAAGAGTTATAGAGTACAGTATTAGCCCATTTTTGGTGTTAACCAATACATGCACAATGCTATTCTGGAAATAAGTGTGCTGAAAACATAAAGCCTGGAATCCAATCAGAGTGGACTTGAATTGAATCAAATTGATTATAATAGCCATTTGTGCACACGTAAGTTACTAAATGGATTCTGATTCTTTATGTGCATGGACATACACACACTACTTTTTTTTAAAGGGGGGAATCAGGAAAGTATAAAGTTGCTAGTGGAATTGTTGGTGATAGGAATACTATGCAATTCTGTGCACATTTGTTTGGAAAATAATTCTCCCTCTTTTGAGTAGAGCTCATACTGAGGAATGTGTCCACAGAGTTAGGTAGGATTCTCACTACCCAATTTCTATATATAAAATTAGGGTATATCAATCCAGAAGAAGCATGCCTCAAGAAGATGACCCGGCAAATGACAGGCTGGATCTTGCACTGAGTTTGATGTGGCCAGTACTCACGAAGTCAAGTCCTACCCAAGAGAGTAGGCAGGTGGCTAATTGCAGGGCCGATTCAGCAAAACAAAACAAGCTGGGCCAGCTCCTCTTTTCTCCAACCTCAAATTACTGATGCTTATACTACATAGGACTCTTGATTCATGTCACAAAATGGTTTTCTGCCAAGAGGTCTCTCTTTAGCTAACCCTTGCCTTTTTCTTTGCACACAAACCCCTTGCTTCTCTTCACCAACTTAATATGCAACAGGTGATGATGATTTATTTATTTCTTTTACAGATCTCTGTTGGATTATTTGAAGAAAAGAGACGTTTTGTGCAGCATGAGGTCAAGAAGAATTTCTAGAGAGGGAATTAGAATGACATCTTTCCAAACACAACATATATGTGCTGTGCTATCCTTGGGAATGCTTCTCTTACCCATTGCCGGAACATCAAAACAAAATGTCCCAAGACTTAAGCTCTCCTACAAAGGTAAATATTGTCACGTTCCTCTACCCATTGAGATAGAAGTAAGTCTTAGTGAACACAAAATGCCATGAGAAGACATATACAGAGCTGCATTGATACTGACTTCTGCATATTATTGTTCATGATTTGTTCCAGTATTGAGATGTCAGATTTTCTGAAGATGGTAGACAGGGCATCAGATGTTTTGAAATTTTCTTGGCCAAAACAGTATTTTCAACAATAATGCTTGTTTGTTATGAGGGGGACTGTGCAAATGGTCTGGTAGTAGAAAACAGCTTTCCAGATTTGTGTTATGCATCCCTAGTTGGTAATATTACAGTAAAAAGTTATTAAAATCCCTATAAGTTGCATACATGATAAACTGAAACCTCTTGGATAAAAACAGTTTGACATGAAGAACATGGCATGAAAGTAGGGCCATAAGAATGATTGTGTCTCTTGTGATTGTTGTTAAAAGGTCTGAAGTCCTTTGAATCTTTTTGAACACTCCAAACTAAATGTAATTAAGTGTAATTATTGACACTCTTTAGAGAATGGCTTATGGTATTGTCTCCATGCCCTCTGGATATGTTCCATATCCTGCTACTAGTTCTAAGAGTTGACACTCTTTAGAGAATGGCTTATGGCATTGTCTCCATGTTCCATATCCTGCTACTAGTTCTAAGAATGAATCATTTTGCTTGAAAATAGATTTAAAAGCCACCACAATTGTGTGACTACATTGAATATAGGGAGTTTGCTTGACATTGGCCAGAATCTTGTTGCTAATTTATTCCTCTTAAAGCGAAATGATGCTAAGTGACTGCAGCAAATTGGTAATCATTAATGAAGTGCAAGTTGTGTGCCTAGGAGTGCAACCAGCATCTCATTATTTATTGTCAATCTACTATTGCGACTTACATAATTTTGCTTAGACGAATGTAAATTGCCAGTACAATTATGCATTTTCCAATATGAGACCAGAACAAAAGTTTTGTAAGTTCTGCTGATGAATTTTAGGAAATCATTTAACTCTGCAAAATTAAAATACTTTTTCATAATAATATGGACGCAGGCTGGGAGGTCAAAATAAGAGTAACAGCATTGAGAATCATCTGTATTTGAGGGTACTGCATTAACTTTGTGATGAAGTACCTAAAAATTATTTGTGAATAAGGGAATTATTGGCCGGCCTATTTACACAGTAGGGGACGCGTTGCATTCTGCAAGCATCCAGGATGTTTCCATACACATATAGGTGCTTGTAAGAAAGAGTGAATACACATTGATTGCCACATTAAAAAGAGATTGCTGCATGTGGATCTTTCGGTTGCACATAAAGCTGAATGTGCAATCTGTCTGCTCCGCTTTGAGTGCTTGCATTGCATTTGGGTCAATGAAGTTGCTCATGGAGCCTATATCAATATTTAAAATAAATGAATTTTTGCTTGGTGAAACATCCTGAGTTATATTTTAAGGGACGTGGAAAGTCTTATGATGAAATATGTTTAAGAAAATTTGGGATCCCAGATGCTGTGACCAAAGGAAACAATTGGAAGGCAGAAGCAAGAGGAAGAAAAGGGGGGCGGGTTTAGCAGAACTGGATAATACATTGTTTTCATCATCTTTTCTTTCATCATTTAAGATACTAAATAAGGACGTTTGGAGGGGAGTTTTAAGTGCCTGTTGCATTCTCTTTCTTGTAATTATCCAATCCACTGTTTCCTGCAGGGCAGCTTCCCACTTGGTGACATCAGTAGTTTACATAGCAGCTGAACTAAGAGTAACCTTTGAGTGACTCACATCAGTTTCAAAACACTGTAAACAATTATGAACTCACCATCTCTTTTTTGCTTTTCATAATGGCAAAAGGGTCTCAGTCAGATGAAGGGCAGGGTGAGTGGGGAAGAACCACACACATCTTCTCTAAGAGATACCATAGTAATTTTCAGATTGACTTGGCTAAATCCCAGTAGATAAGCTGGGACTTGACTGGTGGAAAGAAGCAAGGAGAGAGCAAGAAAACTGAAGGAATGTGTATGTGGTGTTTCTCCCCAAAGGCCTAACCAAGGACATTTAGTGATGACCAGTATACATCAGTGTAGACCTCTGATACCTTGTTCTGCATAGCACTCAAAGAACCAACTACAAAAAGACAAAATAAATGTTGAAAGGTGTAGGCCAAATCCTTGAAAAACACAGGGGATAGACCATTGAGGCAAAACTGGACAAGATGGTGGGAATGAATCAAGATAGACATCAGGAATACTGCTACCTTTAATGTAATGAGCAGAGTCTGGGAAAAATTCATCTTCCAGAATGTGTCAGCCCAGTCAACAGATTCTGGTGCTGCATTACAAATGAGTTCCTTTCCCAAGCTCTGATTGATGTGTAGGTCAGCTTGTCATGGCTTGTTTCTGTTCTGATGTAGTCAGCTTTTAATGTTTTTCAATATGAATGTTATAGCTCTCCTGATTTACCACTGTAGCAACAAGGCCATCTCTCTTGGAGTAATCATTGTTGTTACTTGAGACCTCAGCTTTGAACCAGCTTCTTTCAAGATAGTTAGGCATAACTATAAGATTGTCACACCCCTTCCCTGTACAGCTGACATTTCCCATCAGCTCCTAGCCTGTATAGCCATCATTGTTACAGGAGATAATTTTTTTCAGGTATATTAGAATCCAGACAGGTAAAAACATCACCTCAGGAGGAGATGGGAAATAACATTCTGATATTCAATGGTTTAATATTACTTCAAAAAACGTCACTTGTAGAAGATCAGATGCATAATTTTGCTTAGACCCCCTGTTCAACACAAAGTGGCCATTTGAACACCAACATGCTAATCCTAATGTTTTATTTACACATTCTGAAATTATGCAAAATTCCTTTATTATGGATCAGATAAAATTATGCAAAATGAATCTGACTATCAAAGAGAGTAGTACAGCTGCTTGTGCTGGCAGTAACTACAGAAAAATCTGATATATTCCCAAATGAAGATATTAAACAAGATATGCCGGGTGGGCAGAATGATTTTATTTTCTCCTGCCTGTGTATGATACAGCTTGCATTCTAAATAATGTTTATATATTTTTCCAGAGCTTCTTGCATTGCTAACTGCTTTAACAACCAGCTGTAAAAATCACAGAAATATAGAACACAGCTCCTGAAACCAAAACAAACAATATAAATTTATATGGCCCTGGAAAATTAAAAGCCCTGTAGCCTTTTTTAATCCAGTAAGTGAAAACAAAGCGTTATTCATGAATTGAACTTTGTCCTTATGTTTTTCTCTGTCCCCATTTAGGGCAAGAGGCTGGACTCATCAGGGTTTACCAAATCTGGCACTGTTTAATTTTCTCCAATTTTGCTTGTTGTGTTAAACAGTTTGGAGTTAAGTGGCCATAATAATTTGGGGGCAGGTTCTTAGCAGAGTTCATGCTCCCCATCCTCAAAGGACTAATTTGGTCCTTGTATACAGAGAGAAGGCTGCTTCTGGTGGTATGAACTATCCCCATAAGCCAGTCAGGTCCTACTTTCTAAAATCTGCCTCTGGAAAGTCCTACCTTTATTGTGACTTTGGGGGATATGTTGGGGGATGTTGCTTGAGCAACTTTATCAGTCTGTACTTACTACATGGGCACCCCATGGGCCAAGCAGGGAGGTACTCTTTCCTGAAATTTGGAGATGAGCTCTTCCCCATAAACTACCTATGACTCAGGGCACATATGCATTGGCATAATAGCTTACTGTTTGGATTGCTTTTAGTTTTGTCTGTTTTACAGCATCCACACATATTTAGACTTAGTGGGATCCATCCTGCCCCCTTTTGGAGCTGTCCTGCTCCTTTTTTGGCACAGGAGTAGTGCAACAGGTTTTGTTGTGTGTTTTTTTTTTTTTTTTTTTTGTAGGAGTAGTGCAACATTTTTTTTGTGTGTGTGCATGATTTGGAGCACTCTATAGCCTGTGCAGATACATCATCCACACCAAAATACAGAAGATAGTGCATCTCGATCTCCAGAATGTCAGCATTTAAGTGTAACATGAATCGAACACACAGGCATTCAAACACATAAATGGAAAGCACACTATTCTTTCTTTACTATGCTCCTGCACATCCCCAGATAGGAAGCACTGCAAGCAAGAACAGTGGTTCCATTGGGTAATTTTATACCCTGGGTTTAATGGTCTGTTTGCCCCCCCCCCTTGCCACTCTTTTTATGACAGTGTGATTCAACTTGTGGGTTTGCCAGGTCTGTTTTGACTTATTCTGGGATGTGGGGCCCTGTACATTTACACCCTGTTAGGAATGCATTGCCGTAGAAGATATCCTATCAAATGTTTAACGTGGGATTAAGTGTTCTCCACTCTGAAGAACAGTGTTCCACATCTTGCCTGCAAAGCTAGTGAAGGTGATTGGATCAATGACAGAAGAGTATTGAAAAGGACAATGTCTTCAAACAACTTGTCTTCAAATTCAGCTGCCATTAATTTGCTGAAACACAGAACAGCCACCTTTGACTTTTAAAAGGTGCATCAGCTGAGCAGTTGACCTTGATTACTTACGCTACCTTAAAGTCTCCGTGTTCTCCTTTCTTCAGAGTGGGTGATGTAAACCTACCTGCTCCTATGGCTTCTGTCCCAAAATGAAAACATCCTTGTAGCTGATAGCCTAGATGTCACCTGTCCGTCACTGTGGAACCTTGGCGGGGGAGCCAATGGAGAGATCAGAAGGTGGCGTCACCTGTCCGTCATTGCGGAACCTTGGTGGGGGAGCCAATGGAGAGATCAGAAGGTGGGGCCAGGAGAGTTGTGGGGTTGGGGAAAAGGAGAGGAAAGGAGAGGAGGAGTGCTGGGAAAGGGTGAGAGAGCTGGAGGCTTGGGAATTGGGCCAGGAGGGTCAGAGATCGATAGATAGAGTTAAAAGAGTGATTTGAAGGACCCAAACCTTGTTTAATATATGTGATTTGCTGCCTGTGATTTATACTGCAAATTCCAACTGATTATTAGCCCCACCC